GTAGCACATACTTAAAAAAAATATTACCTATTTAGAACTCATTTAAAATACTGGAAAAGTGGAGACAAAACAGGAACATTAAAAGTCAACTTGTTAAAAAATCCCAACCTTATATCAAGTTATGCCAAATACATGCATACAAAAAGTACTGATTTTTTTAAAAACCACAGAAGCAAGATCTTGGGTAATACCCCTTCAGTAATTCAGCTTTCTGTTAACTTTAATTGATCTCTAGATGTACATTTCGCATAGCAAAGAGAGCAAAATTTTCCCTGCAAAGAGGTGTAATTTCTTATTTCTACTTTCTACCATCTGTCTCATCTCAAATTTCATGCAAATAAAACAAACTTCTACCACTCAGACCTCTTCTACCATTTCAAAGGTACCAAAGTTAGCATCCCAAACACTTGACTTTTCCTCTTAGAAATCATAGAGGCTTTATCTGCAGGGAGGGAGCCTTACAGGCATAGATGAATGATGCCAAAGCTCTGGGAAATGCAGCATAAGCCAGGCAGAGGGCACAGACACAACCACGATATGAGCTGACAGAGCAGAAGCATTCTTCTTTCCACAGTGGTGGCTTTTTCCCATGAATGGGGCTGGTTGTCAGGTGGAGACCACACCCCAGGGAGTTTGGATGTTGTTGTCCAGATGCCCACTGGAAACTTTTTGTCTTGCTCAGTATCTCGCCATGCACAGCAAGTGCACAGGGAGGAATACAAGGCATGCATGTGATTACATTGCCCAAAATATTCTGGCAGCCTCTTAGGAATTTCAGCTCCAAGGACTTCCAGAGCCATAAGTAGTTTTTGGGATGGACTGTCCTGTCATGAATGCACTCAGTTTCTTTTTGAAGTCAAGTAAACTACCAGCATCCACAAATATCCCAAGGTAATAAAGTGCCCAGGTTTAGTTACATGCAGTGTCCAGACCTCCTTGTTGTGTTTCGAACCTACTAACAGTGTTACTTGATGCCCCTAGTTTTTGTACTGGAAGATACAGCAGATAGGTTCTTTTTTATGGGCTTTCTTCACAGAGCTCTGTCACATTATCCCTCAGTAATCTCTCTTTCCAGGCTGAAGAGTGCCAGTCTACCTAATTGTCCAGTGTGCAGACTCTGTTTCATGCCTTTTTGCCAAGAAAGCCTTCTCTGAGCTTTCTGCAGTTGTCATTCCTGACTCTTGGTCCTTGTGTTGATAAAATACTTGTATTTAGGATGGAGGATCCCTTTTCTGAGGGATGGGTGGGGACTTCTACCCAGCTGAAATTCACTTGCCTAGTAAGAATAAACACGTCAATTAAATGCTTTCATCTCGTTTTCAGGACTGGAAATTGGGACAAACTTACCAGTGCAGAACCGGGAAAGAAAGTGGAAGAGAACTTGCCTGTTGCACCAGCAGAGAGCACAGGCTCAAATTCAAGACAGGGTGAGAGTCACAGGAGAGTGCTTTGCTTTGATAACCTCCTACCTACTCCAGGAGGAAACACCCAAATTCAGGCCACAAAGAGTTCATCCCAGAAAGAAAGAAATGAAAACCCTTTATTTGCTGTTGACTCAGCATCCTCCTCTGCTAAGGCCCAGGTACCAAAGAGAGACAAAGACAAAACATTGCCCAGAATTCTGTGTAGGCCAGAAGTTGGTAGCAACAGAAGTGCATCTGCAAAGGAGCCACAGCCCGAGCGGAAGGTGGCAACTGCAGGGCTTTCATTAGATCCCTTCCACAAGACAACAGCAAACAAAGAAAATGAGTTACGAAGGGATACTGATGAAAAGCAGAAGAACCAGGACACCGCCAAACTCTCAAACGGTCAACAAAGCGTTGCCTCATGGAGTGAGAAGACAGTTCCTTCAGTACAAGAGCTGAACAAGAAGCAGGGGTCATTGTCGAATGGGGCTGGCAATGGCAAATCATCGGTGTCCGTTTCTTTGTCCTCGAAGGAGCCGAAGCGAGAACCTGCTAAAGCTTCCAGCCAAGGCCTTGGCCTGTCCAGCCCGTTCAGCAAACAGTGCGTGGAGATGCTGCAAGACATTCAGTGGCAAAGCCCCGCCGGAAAGACAGTTGAAAACGGAGAACTGCCGGTACCCCGGACGCCGTCTGGAGTCGGGGACAGGCACACAGATGACACTACGGACAGTGTCCGCACCCCGACGTGCCGGCGCTTCAACGAGGACAGCACCACGCCCCGCATCATGGTGCCCCCCGCCACGCCAGACCTGCCCGCCTGCAGCCCGGCCAGCGAGACAGGCAGCGAGAACAGCGTCAGCATGGCTGCACACACCCTCATGATCCTGTCGCGGGCGGCCATCGCAAGGACTAGCACTGCAACCCCCCTCAAGGACAACACCCAGCAGTTCAGGGCTTTGAGGAGCACCGTAAAGAAAAGGAAACTGGAGGACTTAAATGAGGGGGAGAGAAATTCTCGTTCTGCAAATCGAAAAGACCTTCAGAGCTCTCCAACACCGTCAAAAAAAAAGAAAATCAAGGCGAGTATAAACATCTACTTCTTTTAATTAAAATTCTAAATATGTGTTAGGTACCTTCGTGTATACTATTTGTAATGAAATGGTTTAGAGATGCTAGTCAAGTCCCTGACATCCTCTTTATTAGATTAGTCAGTATTCCCAACTTTGCCCCTTGAGCATACTCTGAACTAAGCTTTCTTAAAATTGGTTTAGTCTTCAGATGCACACAAGTAACTCCTACTAATTCTAAATAGTCACCAATGACAATTACATTTTTTCTCCTATAATGTGAATGGATTTCTAAATTCTAAGTGTCCAGGTGGAATGTAGGAATTAAGCCAAACTCAAAGTAAGCCTTACTAGAATTCAGGCTGTTCTTGCATCCTTGTTTAGTACCATGAGTGATACTCCCAGTCTCTGTAGTGTGCAGTACGGTGCTTTTGACTTGAGGATTTAAGGGCAGATAGCCAAGGTACGAGACACAAAAGGGTGTCTTTCAATGTAAATAACCAAAAAGGGGTATAACTTTGTAATTCACATACTTAGTTTTAGCATGCACCTTAAACATGGAGACTGGAAAATGTGTCATTCCATGGAGCGAGGGCACATGGCAGTGTCTGAGTTCTGGGGCAAATTTGTCTAGTAACAGCTACAAGGTGGATGGAATGAAGAGGAGGAAAGGAATGTTTGCAGGCTCTTCAATTCCCCCAGGTTCTTTGTATTTAACACAGTTGTTGCTTTCCTCTCCTACAGAAAAAGAAGCTCCCAAATTCTTTTCCAGCAGGAATGGATGTGGACAAGTTCTTGTTGTCTTTGCATTATGATGAATGAACAAAAAGAAGCTGGAAGTGGGGCCATCTGAAGCTCAGTGGAGTGATGCTGAGGTTTTGCATGGGAAGAGAAGTTAACTCTAAAGGGCAAGTTGCACTTTCAGTGCACTGAAGTTTCACTTTATAGCAAAGTCATGCCGTTTTTGAAGCAGGTAGCAAAGTGTAAATAGCATTGAGTTGGTATATGTTTATTTTTTAAAAAGCACTTGCATAATTATAGAGCCATTTAAATTGCAAAACTGTAAATTTGTATAAATGAAATGTAAGAAAGATTGTACATTTCCTGTTAGACCACGTTGTCTATGTTCTGCTGCTTTCTCTACTTACCCCTGCGAAGTGCTCAACCGGTCTGTGAAAAGGTGGTGTTTGTCACTCACCGCTCTAAGATGAGGCAGCTACCTTGGCCACTTCTCATTGTATTGTTGAATCTGAAAGGGACTTAAGTATTCAGCTCTAACTGGCTTGTGCTCACACTCTCTCGTTTCATAACTGTCAAACCTGTGTGGTAAGGCTTTGAATGAAGTAACAAAAATACCAATAGCTAAACATAAGGCCAGTAAAACCTCAAAAAGCATTTTTCATCTGGTGAAGCTTTTCCCAGCCAGTCATTCAGACAAGAATTTTAATTTGGACAGGCCTCCTCTGTTTACAGTATTTGCTACACAGGATGTCATTCGAATGCAAAAGCTGTTTTCAAGCAATGTACTTTTGTGTGAGGTCATGGCTCAGTATGAATACTTCAACTGAAGCAACAGCTTAACAAGAATTAGTATGTTCTAGTGAAGTCAATTCCCTCACCTTTCATTTGTACTGCTGAGAAGTTTGTTACTATCTAACTCTTGCAGTTTTAGCCAGATATGGAAAAATTTGCATCTGATTTTTCAGTTTAACGTAGAGGTTGTCCTAGCTACTACACAAACTCTCTCCAAAAGGGGTGCAGGAGGAGCTCAGCCTACATTTTGCTGAATGAGCATGCCTTGCTCCAAAACTGCAGAATTTTCTCTACTGGTATTTCTTCCTTTGTTCTCAAATTGTTAATGTCTTTAAAAAATAATTTGCAAGTTTTCTTGTAAGAGATCTGTACAGCAACAGGGCAATGTTTCAGACAGAATACAAGGATTCCTAAGGAACCAAGATTATGCAGTAGATGTTTATATTAAACCCATCCAATAACTAAATACTGCATAGCATTTACAGCTTGAATAAATATTTTTGTTTTAATAAAAAGTTGTGTGTCTTGCTTAATGTTTTCAAGTCGACTAAGCAGATTTGCAGATACTGAATGGAGAAGTCCTGTTAGTCAGTTGTTTTTGAAGACAAGGAGTCCTGTATTAAACACAGAGTTCTAATAACAATTGTTAGAGGGACTAGGGCAGGCAAGCACAAAAACTGTCTTAAGCATAAAATGCTTAATAGTGATAGTGACATCTAAAAATAATTTGCTGTTTGAGACTAAAGGTAACTCTGTCCTGGGTCATTCACTACCCACCATAATGTTTCAGCTCATTAGTCTGTGGTTCTAATGAAGATGTGAACTATCCATTCCCTTTCATAGGAAAAAGGTATCTTCAGTACCAAGGTGGTATCGTACAGCAAATAATTTTTATGAAATAACAGCAGTTTCCAGTAGCAGCATTCTCCAAGTTACCAAGAGAATTCTGTGTCAAGGGCCTTTAAGAAATGACAGGTCAGTGACAGAGGGAGCCATAGTTAACATTCTTTATTGTCAGGTTTCAAGCCAGAATTAAAATTTGACATTGTTTATTTGTATAAAAACTTGCACTGATAAAGCAATAAAAGGCCAGTTGTCCAGATCTGTAGTCACTGATGCTTTAGGAAATTTTAGAATAGGAGTTACAGAATTCAGCCACTGATTGATAAATAAGATGTAACAGCTACCACTCAGTTTTGATCAGAGAGCATTTAAGGCTGTGTTCCTGATGCTACTCGGGCTACAGCTTCTGTATCAGTATTGCAGAAGCACCTCCTCCTCCATTGCAGATTCCTGCAAGACCATATTGTCCTGGTTTCAAAGCATGGGCCATGTGAACAACAATTCTTGCTCCAGACATTCTAAATATAAGAAAAACAAAAGAACATAGCTTAGTTTAAAGGAAATTCTTCATTTGACCTACAGAGGGCAGTTGGTGGAATATAGTGTCAACAAAAAAATCTGAATCCTTTTGTGTGCAATAGTGTGCAATACAGATTAAGTACTGGTGCTAGAGAGGAATAAACACAGAAGTTCTTAAACATGCAGTTTTTGTTTGTGTATGTAAAGTTTGGGATAAAGAGATCACCTCTACGTCAGCCTTCATATTCAGAGTACCTCTACATGCAGCAAAGCTCTTTCAAAGAAGGGAACAAATCTCCCACAACCAAATCAATAATAATAATTAAATTCAAACATACCCTTAATTTGCTTAAAACTTGTTTACCTAGAAGACAATGCCTCGGTGCAGAGCAAAACCCAGAGCTTATTTTGCTTACCCTATTGGATGTCCAAGAGAGACAGCACCTCCATTAATATTTACTTTCTGTGGATCAATGCCCAGCATTTTAATATTGGCCAGCACCACAACACTGAATGCTTCATTTATTTCCCACATTGCAATATCTTCTTTTTTCAGACCTGTCTCACTTAGAATCTAGAAATAATACAAAATAATTACTACTATGATAAAATTAAGAAAGTAATTATAGAAATAATAGATCTGTTTTGAAGTCAGTGACTCAGGCTGCCCATACTCAGATTCACAAACTCACATTTAGGAACCTCTTTGTCAGATGGGAAAAAGCAAAACTGATGAACTGAACCACAAACTTGAGTTTTCACCAAAGAAGGAATGGACAGCAGTCCATGCCAAGGATATATTTCCATCACACAAAACTAAGACTGCTGCTGCAGTTAGTCCTTTTAAACTGACACAGTACTGCCTCACACCATACACTTCAGTACCTTTTAGAATGAGTCTGTCCTCGTTATAACCGTATTTATTTTGCCTTTTGGCCATACAAGCTGCAAAACTGTAAAGGTGTAAACATGTCCAAAGTTGCTAAAAGCAGTATAGAACAATACTCTTTCAAAATAAGTGTGAGAAATTTTTTAACTCTGAAGATCTGCATTGTAGCTTTGGTCCTCTGTAAAACATCTGTTCTTTGTATTTGCGACATCATAATTTCAATCCTAATTCAAGAAAGCCCACTGAGAGGGGATGAATCAGCAGTGGAATGCTAGGCAAGTTTGTTCTTTTTTTCCAAAATGTATTCCATTTTGCTCTTACCTTGGGAACAGCATATGCAGGTGCAATTGGAAAGTCAATAGGATCAACAGCAGCATCTGCAAAAGCTGGAAAAAAAAAAAAAATCACAGAAGTTGTTTAAAGACCTTGTGTTTTTACCATAAATGATTTTCTTTGCAACCAGCAAACACTGCCGAGATAGAAAAATTCTGAATACCATGGTCCATGAAATAGCTGCATCTAAAATGCAGTGCCCTAAGTAAGCCACAAAATAATATTTTCAGATTTTTTATTATATATAGAAAATTCTGTTTATGGTCTAAAGTCTGCTGGTATAACACTTGAAATTTCAAGGACTGCATGGAGAATATGCAGCCATAATGTCAGGTAACCAGCCAAACAGGACTCCCAGTCTGAGAGCACGATGGAAGTATTTTCCAGGACTTTCCTAGAGGTAAGAAAGACCATACCTACTATCCGTGCCAAGGGTTTGACTTTCAGTCTCTTGGCTGCCTCTGTAGTCATCAGCACCAAAGCAGCTGCTCCATCATTCAGAGTACTGGCATTAGCAGCTGTAACTGTTCCTAGAAAAGGTAAAACATTCCTTAGACAGAGGTTATGCAAAACAGCTCATGTATATCCTGTTAAGGATTGTTTTTCCCTGAGTTAATTGAACATGAAGTCTCAATCATTTGGTGAAACCCATTGCACAGAGTTCACTAAAAATGAATTGTTTTCTGATACCTGTTTGACAAAACAAATGCAGCCCCAGCTATTTGTATCTCTATCCCAGTGCCAGTTTAGATCATGCCTTCCATGGCAGCTGCATCACTGGCATTTGCACAGAATTCCAGCTCAGGAAGAGTTGTGAATGAGGGGCAGCTTTGAGTTAGCCAAAGGAAGGTTTATCAATTACAGATTCAGGAAGCAATGGCAACTCTGGAAAGCCACTCCAGCTGCACAGCAACAAGAGTTTACACTTGGCAGAGACCAAGTCAATAGCGAAACTGAAACACATCTGTCACTCTTTTTAAGGTAAATGTCCCAAACAGAGGTGTTCACCGGTTTAAGGTTCTTGGACCATCTTTTAATCCAAACCACTTCATGCTGTTGTGCAGCGTGTTTCTTTATCTCAGCAGACATTTAAAAATAAAGGGACTGTTGTTGGGCATTCAAGCTCCTGTGAACAGTACTCTCCACTGTGACAAAGCATCCTTGCACTTGGCAGAAAATTAAGCCAAGTGCTTAAATTAAGTTCTTTTAATTGATATTTACCATTTTCTTTTTGGAAAACAGCTTTCAGCTTTGGAACTTTACTGAAATCAACACGTTTGTATTCTTCATCTTCTTTCACTTCTGTATCTGGCTTCCCTGAAATTCAGATTTGGTTTAGTATTCTGCAGAACAGTTGACTAAATACTGCCTTACATAAATAATTTATTTCAGTAAAAAAGTGCAAATGCATGTAAAATACACATCAAGAAATGTACTTAAATGAACTGAAAAAAAGTTATTCCTTAATCTAATTTATTTAGAGTAGACCCATTTATACTTCCCAGTGGCTGAACAAAAAGGACAGAGTGTATCTTTAATGTAAATTAAAGCAAATAGATACAAATAAATGTCCTTAAGCCATAACTAAATACAATAGCTAACCTTTCACTTAGACAAAAAAGAAGATATTAAAGAAAAATTGAAAAACAAAAACCAGATGACAGGTCACTGACTGCTGTTCACCAGAAAGTCTGCCCAACAGAAAATTCTTAGGTGATCAAAATTAATGTTCCTGAGATTTGCATGTTTAAACAACACAATCTGCACTGAACGTAGACAATGTTACAGCTTTCTATGAGAAACACAATCCATCTCATCAGACCTTTCCACAATACCTTTTTTTGAAATAGTGACAGGAACTATTTCATTTTTCAGTACTCCTGAGTCCCAGGCTGTTTTGCTCTTGGTGTAGGAGCCTATGGCATAAGTGTCCTGCTCCTCTCTGGAAATAGTGAACTTCTTTGCAGTGTTCTCAGCACAGTTGCCCTTGGAGAAAACCAGGCCTGTTAGGTTTGGTATTCCTGAAGATGCAAAGCACAACTACAGCTGAAAAAACCTCAACCAGCAGATTTCCAGAACTGAACATGAGTAATATTTGGTGTCCATTTCTGATTTACACAATCAAGAATAAATAGTAACTTTTGGTTCTGAAATATAATTGTCAGATTTAGCAAATGTTTTCTGGATCCAGATGATCAAAGTCATAGAGGAACTTTGCTTACAAGTTGCTTTTTTTTCCCTCCAATTAAAAAACCGCATGCAAAAGTAAGTTTTAAAGTGCTCAGGGCTGACATCTTCAGAGACTGAAGATCACTGTTCATCTACAGAACCACATATTCACATTGTTTTCCTAGTGTTTTCACTCCATTATTACCTTGCCTATTCCAAAGATTACACGAACAGGTCAACACACAGGGCTTACTTAGTCTTCTAAAAATTGTAGATATAAAAAATATATATCCTTTTTTTCTAATTACTGGAATGAAATAAGAATGAAACAACCAAACCATTTTATATAAAGGTAAATCATGATTGCAATTATATACTCATAATTCACTATCACCACTATCTAAATATCCAGTGACCAAAAAAAAAAAAAATTATTTAGTCAACTGGAAAGATTTGCCCTTGAAGAGGTTTTGTTTCACCTCTCATTTCATTAGAAAACCCAATGAATCAACACAAAACCCTTTAGTATTGTGTCCCTCCATTCTTCAAACAAGCAAGTTCACTTCTATGTAATGAATGAATTTAAAGTCTTCAAACCTCAAAGCAACAGCAACTTAGGCTATTGCCAAAACACTGGCAAGAGTAAGCTCCTAAAGCCATCCTGTGGACTTTCTTGTATGTTCTCACACAGACTGTTAGGGCTTTCTAGACAACCTACATCTGCTATAAGACAGACAAAAGGTTCCAACGTACTGTCCCAATCTATTCAAACCTGGTGTATTATAACTGCTAGAATTTTTTCTTCACATGAGGGAACTATCAAAGCCACTCTTTAGATTCCTATAAAATCCTCACATTCAAAATCCATTTTAGCTGAAATGTGTGAATGAATTTTAACATTCCCACACAGCCTAAACACTAGAGTGCAAAAAGAATAAGTCATGAACAACTGAGGTCTGTATCAAATCTATGGATCACAGTAAATATTCTTCATTACATGTTTTCCTGTATCCCAGCAAGAACACCAGCTGATCAATAAATAATGCCGCCCTTCATCTGTGAATTACCACCGGTAAAGGTCAGAAATATTCATAAGCTGAAAGCAGCCATTCTCTTTTCAAACTTTTCTTCCCTGGTGATTGTTCTTGACTATCTTTGCATCAGTTGTTTTCCAAATCCATCCTAAGTTTGCCCTTGCTTGTCCAATTTAAGTTACCCTGCTGATGAGTAAGCACACCAGCTGACTAAAACCTTCCCACAGGAGGTATGAGATAAGTACTCTGGGGGAGGGAAAAACATGAGCCTGCTGGATCCTACAGAGCAGGTATCCTCAAAGACACTAAGCAACTTGCTTGCTCCCTCCCTCAGATGTAGCAACAGCAACCCATCAGCAGCAGAATTAATTTTTCTCTTTAATCCTTGCTTTAGGCTATTCAGATTGCAGAGACAGGTAATTACTAACACACAAACTGCTGTGGTGTTTTGGTCTTCTGTCCAGTCCCTCCATTACTGCTACTGCAAGAAACTTGGTAATGGAAGACTTTTTCCTCCTCATTTCCAGACTTGCTAGATGAAACAGTTTCATAACAACTGTAAGCAAGCTCTTCAGATTTGCATCAGGTCTATCTATGGTTGATACATGAACACTGTGCAGAAATATTTACCATATGGATATGGTTATAAGCATCTGTCAGCCCATCTTTTACTATCAGGTCTTCCAGCTTTACTCCTCCGTAAGGTGTTGCCCCTCTGCTCATTGTGTAGGGAACATTAGACATGCTTTCCATTCCACCAGCAACCATAACATCCTGCCCAAAGGAAACAAGATAAAATTGGCAATCATGCAGTGTGTTCTCCATGACTTTCTGTAGGAACAATATTAATAAAAGCTTAAGCACAGGTGCTTCATATTTCTGAGGAGTCTTAGAGAAAGAGGAAAAAAAAACCCTTTAAGCATTTAAAAAAGCAAGCAACAAGAACAACTGGAGATAGGTTAATCTACCCTGGTAGAAACATAACATGAAGTAATAAAGGAAAAAAAGAAGGATGGAGACAAAACTATTGAAAAGACAGAAAAATCAGAAAGGCAGTGGAGATATGGAAGCAGCAGCAGATCAGAGGAACAAGAGCCCCTGGCATTTCAATTCCATAAAGTGAAAGACCCAGAGAGAGAGCCAACACAATTGTTTATATAATGGTGTACACTGACTCAGGCCACTGGGAACCATCACTGACTGTCATACCACAGATACCTCACAGCCCACAGCCAGGAAAAACAAACCAATACCAGCCCCCCATAATTTATAGCTCTAAGAGACTAATAACTGGCTGAGTCTCTGCTTTTGCTGAGACTGGCAGCACAGCTTGTATGATTAATTCAGCTGAAAACTCCAGTTCTATTCAGAGCTCATGGCCTACATCTGTCAAACCAACCAAAGGCACAATCACTCTCATGAAGTCATTGAATATAAATGACTAAATCCAAACGCAGCTGTTTACAAAGACGTGCTGGGCTGGTTCAAAGTCTGGTGACAAGATTTCCATCAACTTCAGCAGGCCCCAGACAAAGTGCTGCTCTCTGCAAGGCAAGGCCAAAGCAATAAAGCAGTTGCTTAACTCTAGTTAGACTGTGATTTCCACAGAAGGGACATCAAAACTTAAATACGTTATTTTTGTTCTAAACACACACAGAAACAAAAGTATTCCTCACTTATGAGCCACTTACTTTTAAAGCAAAAAATATATATAACTGAACTGATGATATTTTCACTTCCAAAAACCAAAGATGCTGCCAAAATGCTTTGGGTGTGGAATTAAAAACAAAACTGAAATGTCTTCCTTCACATTCACACTTCTCCCACATTCTCTGCTGCACAGCATTTAATGGCTTAACTGAAAATGATGTATTCTCCTATCCTCCCATCAAGTGACAGTATTTTTCCCATTGCATAGAAAATCTTCTAAGAAAGTTGACAGAGATGAGCAATTCTCCTTCATCAAGCTCTTTAATTAAACAGCTTATTCAGCAACAATAAATTCCACTTCTTCTAAAACAATAAAGAAGACTGAAAGACCTTTAGTGTACTTGGACACACATTGCTTGAATAGGTGTATTTAATTTATTTAAATGTTAACACTGTCTGAAAGTCACCAAAAACTAAGTCTCATAAAAATTTCTTCACCTTTTCAAAACGGAAAGCTTGAAAATTCCCTGAATTATATTTTGAGGGCTGGAGTGGTAGGTGGGTTGGGGATAGAGCTGTAGAGACATGATGTAAATATCCCCCAAACAATCCACCTTGTTTTCTCAGCTCTAAGAACATGTCTGAATTTTCCAACTACAGCATTTACTTTCTTTTCTGTTTTGAGTTCAAACAATACTTAAACAACTATAAAATTAGGGTAGCTTTATTATCCCAAGCCAAAAGACAATCCCAAACCAAAGAGCACAGTCATTGGTAGGACAGGATCTAAAACATTAATTCTGTGGTTTTTTTCCACAGAACAGCACAAAATCCACATACCTGACTCCCACACATCAGGCTTTGTGCTGCCATCATGATTGATTTCATTCCTGAAGCACAGACTTTATTGACAGTTGTGGTAGGAGTGGCAATTGGAAGACCTGAGTCAAAGAAGTTGTTTGTACAGCTGTTATTTGAAGGGTAGACTTAAGCATTTTTAGTGGTGTTTCAGCAACATTTCATATTGAACCAATTTTTATCTAAGCCCAGGATGTTCAGCTTGCACTATTTATCCTGCCAGGGCAATTTTTCTACACTTATCCATAGTTACCATCCTCCTCAGAGACCCCTGTTGTTTCTTCCCTTCCAACAACTCACTTATGATATGGGGGAAGGCAAGGAAATGGAAGAACAAGGAAGGGATTCCAGAACTGTTCCTGTTCCCAAAACCCTGATCACTGCCTCTAAGCAGCATCCAAGCCTGAAAAAGCATAAATAAGCTGTAGAGCTTAGCAAATGGTAACAAGACAGACGCTAGGAAAGGCTGGACAGGGCTTTGAGCACCCCAGTCTAATGGAAGGTGTCCTTGCCCACAGCAGGGGGTTTGGAACAAGATCTTTTAAGGTCCCTTCTGACTCAAGACATGACATAATTCTGTGAAAGAAAAGAACGTTACTTATCACTTTGCCTAACATAAAAGTAGCTTCTTCTAATTCAAAAATGTACAGGAACAGACCCAAGAAAGTACACAGTTCTTCCCTGACCTACAGGCTTTCCTAGAAACAAGATAAGGAATCCCACCCCCACAGAAGAAGGGAGAAGAAAATATTTTCAGCACCCCAATCCCTTTCATACTACAGTTAACATCATACAGTGAATCCTTCCAGTGTCAGCTCCAGACTCCACAGGAAGATGAGTTGTACATACTTATGAGGTGAAGAAAACTGACTCCTTATCCAGTAAGAATTAATAATAATGATATACTGAAGAAAAAAGTCTGTTTTGTAAAACATTCAGAGCAGCACCCATGTGGAATTATCAGCATGGTCTCCAGTACTGTCTTCTCCAGGTTCTGCAAACACTGTAGGCAATAACATCCCCCTTCCATGAGTGCAACACGCACCCTTCACTAGGCAAAAAGCATCCACACACTGTTCTGACAAAGGGCTGCCCACCACTCTGCTTTAACTCACAGCCCAATAGATTCCAGATACATAAAGACAGAAAACCTCCAACCCCAGCGTCAAGAGAAGAAATACCTGCACCCAAGACTGCTTGTCTTGCTGGAGCTTGTCCTTGTCCAGCCTGCAGGACATTGCCCATATAGGCCTCTTTCACTTCTTCTGCAGGGATTCCTACAAAACAAAATGGTTTTGATTCAGGATCCTCTTGACAAAGGTTCCCACTGAAGTTTTCTATCAAAGACTAATGAAACTTGCCACATCCAACCCATGTGCTAGTAGAATCCAGGCCCCTGTGTGTGCATTCCAGATCTCTAACCTCATTCACGGAGTATGGTGAACAGGTGACACCCCCAGAAAATAATTCTCCTGTCACCCAGCAGAACAAGCTGCAGTTATTTCACTGAAGTCAACACTTCCAAGTCTCAGTAATCACCTGAGAAGCTCAATTTTCACGGCTAGTTAAATGCACAAAACTTCTTTTGTGCTAGAATTATGTCTAAAGACAATTTTGCTTGTTTAGCAAGGGCAAGCCAAGGCCACCGGAGAGAAGAGGTCTGCCCTCCTGCTGCATCTCTTGCAACAGCCCTAGCATCCAAGTGTAGTACTAACCCTCCTTTCCCCTAGAAAAACTTTTTTTGCTAGATTAAATCCATCAAAAGGCTGACAAGGCTGTCCTTCAAGTACATGTGCCCACATAAAAAAACAGGCAGGGAAAGGAAAGGCCACTGGTCTTCAGCAGCAAGTAGCCTTTTCATCAGCTTACACACCATAAAAAGCCCTCCCAAAAAAACAATTACCATGTTCAGTCACATTTGGACTAGCACAGATACCCCCAGGCTACATTCTACTCCTAGAAGCAGCCCTTAATTCAGATTGAACTGAATAGTGACTGATAGTCAACTTTACTTAAATGTCATTTGTGGATAGACTTAAAAATGCCACAGGAGCAAAAAACTCAGGACATTGCAGTTTTTTTTCATTACCAAGCCATTGAAAAGACACGGAGCCACTTGAGGTTTTCTTTGTCACAGGAAAAAAATGTGTATACATACCTGCTCTGTCAATTGCTCCCTTAATTGCAATAGAACCAAGTTTATTGGCTGGCAGTGATGAAAGAGATCCTTGGAAAGATCCAATAGGTGTCCTTACAGCACTTACTATCACCACCTCCTATGTGCAGAAGAACAGAGTAAAAGTCACAATCTCTCTCACAATTGCACAAATATAACAGTATTTTTAAATGTATCTACTTATTATTTCACTGATGCCACAGCTTCTCTTTCATCCTGCAAGTGTTTCAGAGCACTAAAATTTTTATTAATGCATGCAGCATGAAGAGTAAACATAAGGAGATTGGTGGGCAGCGGGCAGCACACAACCTCTGGATCTTGGAGCTGTGGTGAGATGGCTCACGTGGCTGAAGTGCTGCCATGCAGGGGTAAGGGCTCTCCAGGAAGGACAAGGAGACAAGCCAAGGAGGGAGAAGAGAGGCCTTGAGCTTTATGGGACAGAACAGGTAGAGTGCATTGAGCTCAGACTTAGAATTGATGATATTTGCAAGAATCCTGAACAACCTGCAGCAAAGGGGGATCAAAGAAAGTTGGCTGATGTTCAAAGACTGTCCCCTCTGAGCTCCAGAGCAATCCATTCCAACAAGCAGCAGGTTGGGTGAAAATTGTAGGATGGATGAAAAACTCACACACAAAAATGAACCATACAGGAGATGGAAATGGAGAGAGAGAATCTGGCACACAGTCTGAGCAAGCAGGGATGAGGTTATAAAAGCCAAGACTTGAATCTGGCAAAGGATGTCAAAGGCAACAGGAAGGGCCTCCATGAGCACCCAAGAAGCAAGGAAGATATGGGCCTGCTGCTGAACTGGGAAGGGGATATGGTGACAAAGGACAAGGCTGAAGGACTGAATGCCTTCTTTGCCTCAGTCTTCAGTACTAAGACCAGCCTTCAGGAACCCCAGGGCCCAGAGACTGGGGGAAGGGTGGAACAAGGAAGATGCACTCTTGGTGGAAGACAAACAAGTCAGCACAAACTGGACATACACAAATCCATGGTCCATCCTAATCAGATGCACCCAAGAGTTCTGTGGGAGCTGGAAGATGACTTTTTAAGGTTACTTTCAATAATGTTGGAATGGTCACAGCAATTGTAAGAGGTGCCCAAGGACTGGAGAAAAGCCAAGCATGACTCCTATCCTCAAGAAGGATAAGAGGACCCAGGGAACTACAGGTCAATCAGACCTACCTTAACCCCTGGAAAGGTGATGAAACAACTAACCCTAAAAGAACACTTACATGAACAAGACAATCATCAGGAGTCATCAGCATGGGTTCACCAAGGGGAAGCCATGCTCAGACAAATTGCCAGCCTTCTACTGTGAAGTGACTAGTTGAATAGAGGAGGAAAGAGCAGACATTGTCTACCTGGACTACAGTGAGGCTTTCACCACTGTCTCCCATGAAATCCTCACACAGAAGCTAAAGAAGTATGGGCTAGACAAGCAGACAAGAGGGATAGAAAAGGGCCGAATGGCCATGCTGGGGGTGGTGATTGAGGTACAAAGTCTGGTTGGAGGCCAGTTACCAGTGCTGTGTCCCAGGGGTCAACACTGGATCCAGTCCTGTGAATATCTTCTTTAATGACCTGGATGATGGTGCAGTGCCACCACCAGCAGGTTTGCTGGTGACACCAAACTGGGAGGAGTGGCTGATACACCAGAGGGTTGTACTGCCACAGAGAACTTCTACAGCAGCACCTCACCATGATTAATACTGGAAGGAAGGGTGCAAAGAAGGGAGAGCCAAACTCTTTTCAGTGGTGCCCAGTGACAGGACCCAGTGGGCACAAACTGACACAAAGAAGTTCCCACTGAACAGCTGTCAAGAAGCAGCAGTGATTGCTTTCAACTGCATTGATTTCAGTGAAAGTTAACCACAAAGCTTTACAGGACCCGGTCATGAGATGTTGGTTCTTTTATTTACACAGGCAAAGAAAGAAAACACTACCAAAAAAAAAATAAAAACAAACAATACTTGTTTAGAACTAAGAAAGGCTGTCTATTACTGTAACCCCTTCATCATGATTGACTTAACTTTTCCTCATCTTTTATGTTATAACAGCAAGTCTCAGATTAACACAATTTCAAATGGATCAGTTGATATTTCATTTGATATCAGCTGTCTTTTCCCATTCTGGGTTGATAGTTACATGAAGCTTACATCAGCTGACATACTTCTAATTTTGTCCCTCACTTAGCAAATCAAAATAAAAATGGCAATCTGACTATTGTTTCAGATTTTAAAGTAAAATATGGCTTGGGCACAAGTGACATTGTCTTTAAGACAGTTATCTCGTGATGATTTTCTTTAAAAAGTCAGTGATTAACAAACAAATCTAAAATAGCAATTAGTCAGATAGGGCTTTATACTTACATTTATAGTACGCTGCGATGCATAGCCACGGCTTGGAAATTTCAGAGCCTGAAAACAAGAAAGTCCTCAGAATCTCACATCAAGAAAGCCAATGCCATAATGTTTCATTATGTAATGTACCCATTTTCATAGAAGTTATTATTTCAAAAATTAATATCTAAGAAACACTGAAAAAATATGAAGAAAAATCATAACATGCCTTTGAAAAGAAGTGTGGTCTAGTACAGTCTCACCATAACATCTGTGATAAAATGTTTTCTGAAAAATAAACAAATACTCCTTCAAAAACAACACTGAGTTTATTTTGTCCAAGTCTATTATGTACACCTACAGCATATGTCTAAGCCAGGGGTGAGTGCTGTTATCTTAGAAAAAGTTTGCTAGTCCCTCTGTCTGCTTCTCTGGACTTTGGTTCATTCCTACCATTAACTCCACAGCTTTTAAACAGTGGCAGTTTGCATCTACAACTTCCACTCCCTTGGTGTTTCATGAACAAAAATGAAGATAACAAATTCAGAACATCACACCAAGATAGGACAATATAACAAAACCAAGAAAAAGGGATTATCTGAGAGTCTAATTCACCAGCCAGTAGCTTCATCTAATTAAACAGTGCAAAGATACAAAATTATATCTGTAGGTTTGTTTCATATATTAACAGAAAGATCTTTCCAATAGTGACTTAAACCACTTTCTTTAGCCATTTCCTTAGACAACATTTCACATTTCAGCACTCTGGAAACTTTTAGCCTTTACTGAATTACAGCTATATAAATACTAATTAAAAACAACTGTTTAAGAACACCACCATTTTTACAAATTAGACAATGCCTTCTGGTTGTGTCTGCAACATGAAAATTTAGCCTATTTCTCTTCTTCATTAGCTAACCTTCAACTAACAAAAGGCTGTTTTTTTTTACTGTTTTGAATTAGTTGCTTGATTGGGGGGGGTGTGGGGTGTGGAATTTTTTTTCTGTTTTTCTCCCCAGCTCAAGTTGTAATAGGCAGCAGGAAGTTTTAAATTAAACTTCTCCCTGAAAAAGAGTTATGTCCCTTACAGGGTGTTAACAGCAGTACTTTCAAGGGTTAGCATCAAAAAACCAAAGCCTAACCAAGCTTAGCAATATAAATACCCATGCTACCATAAATACTCTTACTGTACAAGGCCTGAAATTTAAAGTGGACAAACCAAGCAATTGTTTACCAAGTACAACTGGCATCTGCTAGGAGAGTTCATACTCTGTCAGGAAGGAAGGACGGACCCACTTCCACAGCTGGGTAAAATGCAACCTTCAGCTGTGCATATGGCAATTGGGGTGCGATCCACCTGGCCTCCTTTTCCCCCGGCACAGCTCCCCACGGCCGCGCCAGAGGCCATGGCCCCGGCAGGGCAGGCACAGCCAGCACCTGCATCCGGCAGTGCCAGCAGCGCTGCCGGCCACACAGGCTCTGTGGGCAGCAGCATCCCACCGCCCAGCCGAGAAGCAACACCCTCAGGTGCAATTTTGTATCTTTACACTGTTTAATCGGAGGAGTCCAACCCGACTGCTGGCCCTGCCTGCTGGGACATTCCTATGGCTGCAGCGGGTACCGGACAGGGCTCGGCAGCCGCGGCACTCCCGCGCCGACCACGGAAAAAGCCGCGCTCAGGATCGCGGATAAAGGTCCCGCCGGGCTTAGTGCGGGGCCCGGGGCCAGGAGAAGCCTTCACCCATCATCCCTCACCCGGCCCGGGACCCGCTCCCTCCGCTCGGCTGCCTCCCGGGCCGGGGGTTTTCGCAAGAGTGAGGGGAGGG